AGGGCTTATGCGTGCCGGGCGGGCCCGCGCAGGCCGCTACGCAGAGGCCCTGGCAGAGCACCGGCAGGAGCGGCAGCTGCTGGAGAGCGCGGGCGACGCCCTGGGCTGCGCCGTGGCCCACCGCAAGATCGGAGAGCGTCTGGCGGAGATGCAGGATTACGAGGCTGCCCTGCAGGTGCGGGCGCGGAGGAAGGACCGCATCCCATTAGCCACACCCCAGCCGTGGGCTTGCACTTGTGCGGCCCTTAGATGCGGGCCCCACAGTCTTTCCTGGCACCAGAAGCCATTAGTGAACATATCACTTCGGCTGTGTTGCGGGGGATCGAGATCCACTGTCCGCACAGAGCCCTCCCCGACCCTGGCTGCTGGGGGCGGGGCTGCAACTCCCCAGCTGACTCCCAGTCCTTCTCTCTCCGTGACAACGTTGCCTGGTTGCAGTGTGGAGTGTCTGTCGCCACAGAAGAGATGGGGCGTGTGTGGCCTGGCCTTGGCCTGCTACATAGGGGTTTTGGGGAGAAGGGAGGCTCTCCTGGGCAGGCATAGGATCCTCTGAAGTTGAGACACACAGGGTTTGCTTGAGGTGGGGTCAGCTCACAGAAGGGATTTCTCTCCACTCCCAGCATCAGCACCGCTACCTGGAGCTGGCGGGTTCCCTGTCCAACCACACTGAGCTGCAGAGGGCCTGGGCCACCATTGGCCGCACCCACTTGGATATCTATGACCACTGCCAGTCGAGGGAAGCCTTGCTGCAGGCGCAGGCTGCTTTTGAAAAGAGTTTGACTATCGTGGATGAGAAGCTGGAGGGTGGGTGCTCTCGGGGCTGGCCCCTCCACACTCCCTACCTCCTGAACTGCCCCACTGCTTGCCCAGCAAGCTTGGTGGGTTCTGCCTCCCAGGGCCTTCCTTTACAAGGCACCTGTGTATGGGGAGTGCAGGGCCCATGCTCCTCATGGCCCTGAATCTGACAATCATTTGCTCTTTATTTCCTCTGTACTCTGTGCAGCAGGACTTCTGGCATCCACGGAGGGTGGGGGATGGGAGGGGAGAGGCTGGACAGGCCCTAACAGGGCCAGATCTGGAAATCTCACATGGGGAGGAGGCAGCTAAGTGTTTGGAGGGGGCACCTTCCAGGGACACTGGCCCAGCGAGAGCTGAGTGAGATGAGGACCCGGCTGTACCTCAACCTGGGCCTTACCTTTGAGAGCCTGCAGCAGATGGCCTTGTGCAACAACTACTTTAAGAAGAGCATCTTCCTCGCTGAGTAAGAACCCAACCCTGCCCCACGCGGGAGCAGAACCCCCCATTCCTGGAGGAAGTTGCTGGGGGACAAGTCACTCCGAGGATACTCCAGAGAGAGCAACCTGGCTGGACCTCATGCAGCCCTCACTCTCCCCATCACCCAGTCAATTTTCCATGAGCAGAGAGGCTCCTAACGTCTGTGCTGTGGGCAGGGGGCAAGCAGGTTTGGTTTGGGCCCTGAAAATGTAGCATGGCAGGGCTGGAATCCGTGTGGCATCGGTAGCTGTAACTGGCTGAACGCTCTGTACACATTAGCAGCCGTCTTGAGCTCTTCACTACCCACTATCTACTGTTCCAAAACCAGAGTGTCCTGGGGACTTTGAGCACCTGTCACCCCCACAGGCAGAACCACCTCTATGAGGATCTGTTCCGTGCCCGCTACAACCTGGGCACCATCCATTGGCGTGGAGGGCAGCACTCTCAGGCCATTCGCTGCCTGGAGGGGGCCCGGGAGTGCGCGCGCATCATGAAGAAACGGTTCCTGGAGAGCGAGTGCTGTGTGGTGGTCTCGCAGGTACATGCTCCCCCTGGCTCTGGGCACATCCCCTGGTTGGGCCTGGATGCTGGGGGGTCTGCAAGCCTCGCCTTCTTTGCTCGCCAGGTCCTCCAAGACCTAGGGGATTTTTCAGCTGCCAAACGAGCCCTGAAGAAGGCCTACAGGCTGGGCTCCCAGAAGCCTTCGCAGAGGGCTGCAGTCTGCCAGAACCTCAAGCATGGTGAGCCCGGATGGGGGCCTGAGGGGGTCAACCCCCCCAGAAGGGGTGGGGAGGGCTCTTCTCTCTTGGCAGAAGGAGCCTGAGCATGAGTCCTTGAGAAGGAGACAGCTTCAGCATTGGGCCTCTTCCAGAAAGAGGTGCAGGTCTCTCCACTTCCTGTTGGGAGGAGACCCTTGTTTTTCTTTGAGCCCGTAGCACAGCCTGTCAAGGGGCACTGAATGGTGATCGGGAGACTGGCTGGGCCTTTGCTCAGGAGCCAGCACCTTGGTCGACATAGTCATTCCCTCACCCCAGCGGGTGGGAGAGCAGGTGGCATGTGTGTGGGACAGGAGCACTGACCATGTGACGGTCAATAGTGGCTGGCAGTGGTCAGAGATGCAAGCCAGGCTCTGTTCCAAGGTGTTCAGTGTATCCTTCTAGTTCTCCAGACAATCCTAGGAGATAGATTCTCCTACTTTTGCCAACAGGCAGGTGGAGACAGATGGTCCACCTAAGGGCACATGGCTAACAGCAGAGCTGGGGTCAGGGCCCCGCGCTATGCTGCTGCCTCCCTCGAGACTCTTTCTGGCAGTGTTGGCAGTGGTCTGGCTGCAGCAGCAGCTGGAGGAGGCTGAGGGCAGTGACCCTCAGGGCGCCATGGCCATCTGTGAGCAGCTGGGGGACCTGTTCTCTAAGGCTGGTGACTTCCCCAAGGCGGCTGAGGCTTACCAGAAGCAGGTGTGTAGCCTGTGGCTGGGGCGGGAGGAGAGTGTGATGGCCTGGGGCTCACTGGTGCTGGCTCCCCAGCTGTGCTTTGCAGAGCTGCTGAACAGACCAGGGCCTGAACTGGCCATCATTCATGTGTCCCTGGCCACCACACTGGGAGACATGAAGGACCACCGCCGGGCCGTGCACCACTATGAAGAGGAACTGAGACTGTGCAGCGGTGGTGCCCTGGAGGTGCTGTGCCCTTGCTCCCCTCCCAGGGCACGTGCTTGTCCCCAGCCCTGACTCAGGACTGCTGTTCTTGAGTGGTGCACATGGATGGATGTCCTATTGGGTGGGCGGTGCTTTCCTAGGACTGTCAGCCTCCAGTAGTTGGGAAATGGGGCTCAGAGCCAAGGCAGATGTTCCCATTTTTTGCGGGCAGCAGGGGGAGCCATGCCATGGCTGTGGCCAGCAGGATGTGTGGGCAGCAGCCACCAACCTTATCCTCTCCCCTGCTCCAGGAGGCCAAGACCTGGTTCAACATTGCACTGTCCCGTGAGGAGGCTGGCGATGCCTATGAACTACTGGCATCATGTTTCCAGAAGGCTCTCAGCTGTGCCCAGCAGGCCCAGCAGCCCCTGCTGCAGGTGCAAGAGCCTGCCCCACCCATGCTGATCCTCAGCAAGCTCTGCTGCCTTGCGCCCCCTTTTTCCATGTCTCCATCTCTCCCCAAATCCCCTTCGCCCCAGCCCTGCTTGTCCCACCCTGGCCCTGTGCTAGATGCCCCTTCTGCTCCTCAGAGGCAGGTCTTGCAGCACCTCCATGCTGTGCAGCTGAGGCTGCAGCCTGAAGAGGCCCCTGGCACTGAAACCAAACTGCGGGAGCTAAGTGTGGCCGAAGATGAGGAGGAGGAGGAGGCAGAGGCAGAGGCGGCAGCAGCAGCAGCCAGTGAGGCCCTGGAGGCCAGCGAGGTGGAGCTCTCAGAGAGTGGTGAGAGCCGGATGCTGCCGTGGCGCTGTGGCCACCGTGCTGGCTACACCTGGTGGTTTCTCCCTGGGATGGGCTGGTGATGGAGGGTGCTCATGGAGCTTGCTCAGGGCTCGTTATGGGGGATGTGGGGTGGGGACGGCCGTGGGCAAGTAGGGTGACCAGTGCTTCCATGGAAGTGGACAGAGGAGGTGGCCGCATGCAGGGGCTGGGGCAGGCCCGTAGGACTTCTTGGAGGAGACAGTGGTTGTAAGCCAAGTGGGTGTCAGCAGGGGAGGCAGCACGGGGTCGGAGCTTGGGAAGATGGGCTGTTAATAGGCACATGTGCCGTCCATGGGAGGTGAGACGGGGCCTTGTCTGCCACGTGTGGGAGCCGTGCACATCCCCAAAGCCCTCCAGAGCCGGCCTAGCAGCTGCGCAGAGGCAGACATGAGGGGGTGGGCGGCCCTCCCACCCCTGGGTCCTGCGGTGGAGCAGGGCCTTCACTTGGGGTGGTGGCTTGTCTCTTCCAGGGGAGGACGCAGACAGCCCATCCCATCGCGTCGAGGACGAGGAGCTGCGGGGCTGCCTGGGGCGGCGGAAGATGAACAAGGTGAGAGGGGATGGCTGCCCTCCCCGCCACTCTGCTGCCCTGCCAACCCCTCATGCCTCTGCCCCTTCTGGGGCGGCTGTCCCTGCAGTGGAACCGGCGGAACGACCTGGGGGAGACCCTGCTGCACCGAGCCTGCATTGAAGGGCGGCTGCGCCGTGTCCAGGACCTTGTGCAGCAGGTGGGCCCCGGCAGGGGGAGCTGTAGGTTTGGGTGGGGTATCCCTGATCTCTCTAACTCGGCTTCCTCCCAGCACAGCACAGCACCAGGCTGTGGCTGAGTCGGTCAGCTAGGCTGAGACGGGGCACCCCTTCTCCTGCCTCAGGCCCTCAGCCGGGCACACTGTCTCTTCACACAGTGACAGGGCAGGCTCGAGGCTAGAGGGTGGGCTGTTGCTGCATGGCTGCTCGGGGTGGAGAGGCATCTCCCTCACTGGAAGACCTTGGCCAGAGGAAGAGAGAGCCAGGCCAAGGGATGGATCCATGGAGACTGGGCCCTCCTCTCCAGGGCTGGGCTACGGGCACACAGGGCCAGGCTTCTTCCTGTCCTTGATCACAGGGCCACCCCCTGAACCCTCGGGACTACTGTGGCTGGACGCCCTTGCATGAGGCCTGCAACTATGGGCATCTGGGTGAGCAAGGGATCCGCCCCGACCACAGCCGCCAGGCAGTCTGGCACAGGATCGAGCGGGCCTGTGGGATGGGAAGGGGCACCGAGCAGGGCACTGGGAACTGGGTTCATGTCCCCCGGCCCACAGAGATCGTCCGTTTCCTGCTGGACCAGGGAGCTGCGGTGGATGACCCAGGTGGCCAGGGCTGCGAGGGCATCACCCCCCTGCATGATGCCCTCAACTGTGGCCACTTTGAGGTGGCTGAGCTGCTCATTGAGCGGGGGGCATCCGTCACTCTACGGACTAGGAAGGTAAGCCCGGGAGGGCTGGCTGGGGAGGGCTGTGGGATGGGGCTGCTTGCTCAGCTGGGTGCCACACAGGGCCACAGCCCGCTGGAGACACTGCAGCAGTGGGTGAAGCTATACTTCAGGGACCTGGACTGTGAAACGCGACAGAAGGCTGGAGCCATGGAAAGGCTGCTCCAGGCGGCTGCCTCAGGTCCAGGCAAGAGAGCTTGCTCCGTCCCTGGGGATACTGCCCCTTGCCTGATCCCAAAGGATGTTTCAGCATAGGTGGCGGGGAGGAGGTACTGGGCCGTATCTCATGACAGGTTCTCTCTCCCACAGCTCTGCAGAACTGCCAGGCTCCCCGGGCTGTCCCCAGTAGTCTCCTGTTTGACCCTGAGACCTCTCCTCCCTCGAGCCCGTGCCGAGAGCCCGGCTCTCACACCCCCACACCCCCAGAGTCCTCTCAGGCCCGAGCCAGGGTCTCCTCAGGGCAGGCGGTGGCTCGGCCTCGCAGGGGCAGGCACAGGCCAGGCAGTAGCAGCAGCAGCAGCAGCAGCAGCTCAGAGAGTGAGGGCAGCATGAGCGCCCCCCGGCCGCGCCACAAGAGACCTCGGCGCTCTGCCCCCGCCCAGCAGGCTGAGGCCCGGAAGCCTGGCCCTACCAGCAGCAGGGTAGCAGCCACAGCAAGTGCCAGCCAGGCGGCCTACCGGGCAGCCATCCGAGGCGTGGGCAGTGCCCAGAGCCGCCACCCCGGGCCCAGCCCACTTCAGGGCTTGCGCGAAGCCCCTGCCCCGCAGGCAGCGCTCATCCCAGAGGAGGAGTGCCTGGTGGGTGACTGGCTGGAGCTCGATGCACCCCTGACCCGCAGCCGCCAGGACAGCTGCCAGCCCCGGCCCCAGGGCTGTAGGGACAGGCCCAGTGGCTCAGGGTCCGACACTGAGGAGCGTCCCGTCGGGTCCCAGGCCTGGGCCCGGCAGACCCGCCTGACCCATCTTGAGAGTTGGAGCACGCTGGCCAGAGCAGGAGACAGCAGCCTGGCAGCAGAGCCCCCAGGGAGGCCCAGCGGGGAGAATCCCGTGGCAGGCCAGCCCTCGGTGGGTGTGCGAGCCTGGGGCAGGTCTGGTCCCCCGGCTCGGGGCCAGTGGGGTGGCAGCCTCCAAGTCTCCTGACTTGGCTCTCCCCACTGTCCCCACCTGCCAGGCTCCAGTCCTGCCTCCTCCGATCCGGGTTCGGGTTCGAGTGCAGGATAACCTTTTCCTCATCCCTGTTCCACACAGGTAAGGTCTCCTCTGCCCACCCTGCCACACTCACGTTGGCACGTCAGGGATATGTGACAAGAGCTTCCTTTGACTTGGTGCCCCTGAGCCCAGGGTGCGTGGCAGGCTTCGGTGAGGGTGCACAGCATGGGTAGAGGTCCCTAGAGTGGTGCAGGCAGGCCTCACAGACACTAGTAATGGACAAAGGAGCCATAGCATGCTGGGCTGCAGGATGGGAGGAGGCCAGCCACGGGGGAGGTAGTGTAGGGGGGAGCTGTGGGCCCTAAGCCGGGACAGCAGGGCCTTAGGGCATCTCGTGGCTGTGTGTAGGGCCTGGTAGGGCCATGGCTCAGTGTGCTGTCGGTCCCCAGCAGCGAGGCCCATGCCGTGGCCTGGCTGGCCAAGCAGGCTGCCCAGCGCTACTACCAGTCTTGTGGGCTGCTGCCGAAGCTCACTCTGCGGAAGGAGGGGGCGCTGCTGGCCCCCCAGGACCCCATCCCTGATGTGCTACAGAGCAATGATGAGGTGAGCAGCAGGAGCCAGAGCTGGGCACCCTGGGAAGGCGCCCTGGACTGCTTGCCAATGGTGCTTTCCAGGTGTTGGCTGAAGTAACTTCGTGGGACCTCCCCCCGTTGACTGAGCGCTACCGCAGGGCTTGCCAGAGCCTGGGGCAAGGTGAGGGCTCAGGAGAGCTGCAGCTTCTGGGTGAGGAGGCCTGGGCGGGGCCGCTGGCATGCACTTGCCCACCCCTGTCATTCGTAGGCTTGCAGGCCTTGGGTGCAGGGGTGCTCCTCCCCCAGCCTGACTCCTGATGGGGGCTGTGTCCTGCACCTGAGGGGTGGTATGGGCTGAACCACCAGGGCCGTTTCCAGGAAGCCTGTCTCAGGGACTGGGTATGGGGGTGGCCAATGGAGGTTAGTGCCCCACAGGTCCACTTGGACGCACAGGGTTACATTACACTGGACCCACAGTTTGTGGGTGGGGGACCGCAAGGTTAGCGAGGAGGGGCCGCTTGGCTTGTCCTCCAGGATTAAGAGTGCAGAAACGGTAGGCACCCTCCAGGTGACCCCACATCCCCTCCTCACTCCCCAGGGGAGCACCAAAAGGTGCTGCAGGCTGTGGATCGCCAGGGCATGGGCCCCTCGTTCAGCGCCTGCCGCCTGGCCCTGCACCAGGCCCAGCTCACACCCCTGCTGCGGGCACTCAAGCTACACACGGCACTTCGGGAGCTGCGCCTAGCAGGGAACCGACTAGGGGATGGATGTGCTGCCGAGCTGCTGGCTGCCCTGGGTACCATGCCCAACCTGGTCCTCCTCGACCTCTCCTCCAATCACCTGGGCTCTGAAGGCCTGCGCCAGCTGGCCACAGGCCTCCCAGGCCAAGCCACTTTGCAGGTAGAAGCATGGGGAGCAAGGGCCAGCAACCGGATGGCATCAGTGTTCCCAATCAGCTAGTTGCCAGTTGTCTGGGTTGCTGGTCAGTGCCCAGCTCTGGAACAAGCTCTGTGCAAGGAGACCAGACCCTCTGAGGGGAAACCTGCGCACACATGTCTGGGAGCTCAGTGCCTGGTTTGTGTCTTCCACAGAACTTAGAAGAGCTGGACTTAAGCATGAACCCCCTGGGGGACAGCTGTGGCCAGGCCCTGGCCTCTCTCCTGCGGGCCTGCCCCTCGCTTAGCACTCTGCGCCTGCAGGCATGTGGCTTTGGCCCCAGCTTCTTCCTGAGCCACCAAGTGGCCCTGGGTAGCGCCTTCCAAGGTGAGCTAACCAGGCCAGTCTGCTCCCCAACCCTAGGGTATTGAGGGACTCAGAGGCCTTGAGCCAAAGCAGCCTGGGCACCCCTGACCCACCCTCCAACCATGCACTGACATCCTGGCCCAGGACCCATGCCAAGCTGCCCAGGGACTGTCTAGTCATGGGGTGGGAGCAGGCAAGGGACCTGGAAATGGGGGAAGCTGGGCTCAGGTGTCTGGCCCTGTCCTTCCCCAGCTGGGGGAATTCGGCCAAGAGCTTTGCCCTCTAAACTTCAGTTTCCCCACACAAAAGTTCAGGGATAACAGTTTCCCCAAATGGGTCATGAGGGTTCTGGGCCCAGAACTCTGGGGGTGTCAGGGTGTGGTGGCTGCATAGGACTGACAGGATCTGGCCCCGGTGCAGATGCTGAGCACCTGAAGACCCTGTCCCTGTCCTACAACACTCTGGGCACCCCCACGGTGGCCAGGGCCCTGCAGAGCCTGCCTGCTCCTACTCTCCTACACCTAGAGCTCGCCTCTGTGGCAGCTGGCAAGAGTGACTCTGGCCTCATGGAGCCCGTGGTCGGATACCTGACCAAGGTACGAGGTGGGGAAGGGGCCACCAAGCTAGAACATTGGGCCTCAGAGACCAAAGGTCAAAGGTTCCACCCCTGAGGCCATCACGGGGCTGGAAGGGGTTCTGGAGAGAGGACTGTGGGTTAGGCAAGAACAGATGTGGGGGATACTTCCTGTACAGCTGGCTGCCTCAGACAGTTCCTGGCCACCAGGAAGGACACCTGGGACCCAGGGTGGCCTTCCCTACCCCCAGGCAGGCCCCAAGGGCACACTAGTGCTCTCACCTGTAGGAGAGGCATTTTCTTCTGATCACCAAGTGGAGGAGATGCCACTCCTTTTTGGGGCCTCAGGTGTCTGGCCTCCTGGGTGTGGGGGCCTCTGCTGGGAGGTGGGGAGGGCAGGTGCCTCACTAGGCTTAGCTCCCTCTGGCCTCTGCTTATGTCCAGGAAGGCTGTGCTCTGACCCACCTGACCCTGTCTGCAAACCACTTGGGTGACAAGGCAGTGAGAGACCTGAGCAGGTAACACTGCTTGCTGTCCTGAGGGGGTCTGATCTCAAGGCCCGGGGTCGAAGCTGGGTCAGGCAGGAAGGGCCACAGAGCTGGTGCCAGCTCCTCCCCACAAGGGTGCCCCAAGGCCTGGCTCCTTCCAGCTGACACTGGTCTCCAGGGCTTGCCCGGCTGGCATGCGCCCTCTTCACATTTCTTACTCCTCCCCTGTTGCTCTTGAGAGCTCTTCCCTCAGATGTGTCCTTTCTCACTACCCTGTGGGTTTTGTGCACCAACCTGCACAGGTACCACCACTTTCATACCCTGGGATCTTGGCTAGTTCTCAGCCACATCAAGAGGTGCCCACGGGCTGACCCCGTGGCGCACTCGGGAGAGTGCAGCGCTGGGAGCGCAGCGACGCTCCTGCCGCGGGTTCGGATCCTATATAGGAATTGCTGGTGTGCTCACTGGGTGAGCGCAGTGTGGGCGACACCAAGCCAAGGGTTGCGATCCCCTTACTGGTCACGAAAAAGACAAAAAAAAAAAAAAAGAGGTGCCCAAACCAGGCCATGCACACCCAGAGCTGGCCTTCATGGTCCTGACCCCTGGGCAGTGCCTGCCAGCCTTGTCTGCAAACCACCTGGGTGACAAGGTTGTGAGACAGTCTGGGGAGAGCATGCTGGGCTTGGCCTGTGGCTCCCAGAGCTGAGGGTGTCTCTGGGCAGCTTTCCCTAGTGATGGGGTGAGGGCTCCTTCTGGAAGCTGACCCCTGCACTTTTTCCCACATTGTCTTAGATGTCTCCCTCTCTGTCCTTCACTCATCTCACTGGACCTGTCAGCCAACCCTGAGATCAGCCGCACCAGCCTGGAGGAGCTCCTGTCCACCCTCCAGGAGCGGCCACAAGGCCTCAGCTTCCTTGGCTTGTCAGGTGAGGGCTGGGCTGGCTCCATGAGGCTGGTGCGGTGGGGGGCAATGCAGTGTGGCAGGAGAGGGGCACCAGCTCAGCTCCTAAGATGATGGGGTGGGGAGAGTGTGGGGGTTGCTGCCTCTGGCCCATCCAACCTGACCCTCAGAGCAGACCATGGCAGGCAGGACCCTTCCATAGGGACTTACTCGTTCTCAGTGGCCAGAAGAGGGAGCCCAAGGTCAGGGTGGTGACAGCTGCCACCAGGGGACCCTCCCACTTCTGGCAGGGTCTTCTCTGACCCTACCTGCCCTGCTGTGGCCCAGGCTGTAGCCTGATTCAGCTTTTCCTCACTCTGGCCTCACCAGGGCAGTTCCCCACCTGAGCTGTCTGGAGAACAACCCCAGGGGAGGTGCTTTTATGAACTGGCCGACCAGCTGGGGTCCAGCAGCAGAATGCTAGGCTCTGCTCTCCAGGGTACAAGGGCTGGAAATGGGTGTGCACAAGGGGAGCCCCTGGGTTCTTCTGTACCTCAACCCCCACCCCATGGGGCCAGGCTGCCTTCTCCAGAAAGATGTGCCTGAAGGCAGGCTGGTAGGAGACCTGCACTCAGCCGGGGGCTACTCCCCACACACCTGGGTTCTTGGCAGCTAAGTGCTCTGAGCCACTCAGGCCCTCAGTGTACCAATTTGCAAGCAGCCCCCTTATGCTCATGTTTGGATGGCAATTGAGGTGTAGTCATAGACTGAGAAGGGGACACTGTCAGAGGTACAGGTATGAGTGCAGCACTGGTCTGAGCCACCCTTTCTCCTGCCTGACCACTGGCTATGCAGAGAGGCCTCCTCTTCTTCCTGGAGAGTGTTCGGGGCCTCTCCTGGGCTCTGCTCACTGCACCTCGCTCCAGCCCGGGGCCCTCTGAGGAGGTGTTTCTTCCCAAGGGCCATGCTAGTAGGGAGAAACAACAAGGGTTTGGGAGTCCCGTGGGTCTTGCAGGGCTGAGGCCTGTGCCCCACTGCAGGCTGCACCATCCAGGGCCCCTTGGACCGGGACCTCTGGGACAGGATCACCACGCAGCTGCGGGAGCTGCAGCTGTGCAGCAGACGCCTGTGCGCCGAGGATCGCGACGCCCCGCACCCGCGGCTGCCCGGCCAGCCTGGCCCCGGCGAGTGCACGCTGCACCGGGGCCCCAGGCTCTTCTTCCGGCGCCTCTGACCACGGCGCTGCCCCCCACTCCACCCCACCCCAAGCCCTTAATAAACGAAGCTGCTGCCTCCATCCCGTGGATGCCTGGAAGGCAGGTGGGCGGTGTAAGACGGGGCTTCACTGTGCCGCTGCTCCTATCCCCAGAAACTTCCTACGGAGACCTCATCTGGCGGACCCTCTGGGCAGAGGCGTCCCGCGCAGGCGCAGGCAGAAGGGTCGAGCTCGGGGGGG